TCATTTCAGATGGATGGAGGTCTTACAGCCGGCTTCAGGACGAGGCAACTTTAGAATAGGGAACCTGTTCAGGTCAATTAGAGTCAAACTACTAGCTTATTGGTTATGAACAAGACTTCACTTTAAAATAGGGAACATGTTCTTAGATATAAATACCTAATTTTGAGTTATTTAGACAAAATTAACACTTATAGTTTCATATCTTGTTACATAATAATATATCATATTTGTTAAGTGTTATTATGGGAGAATTACTATTCTTGTGGTACCACTGCCTTATTAGGCCCATATTGAGCAGAGCATATTAAGACCAAATGCATGTTAATTAACAACTAGTTGATGGTGAATATGTGTACCTTAATATAAAGTGTTACCAAATTAAAATAGGCGCTCAATGACTAAATAATAATGATCACGCCACCAAATGCAGATTCAAACTAAATTCTGTTTTGAAAATGTGAAAAGAAGAGAGTACAGGTAGGCCTATGTGTGTTAGAAATGTCAGGAGTAAAAGTCAAAAGTTATTAAATAAATAGTGGAGTAAAGTACTGATACCAGAAAAATCGACTTAAGTAAATTAGCGAAGTATTTGTACTTCACTATTTCCCACCTCTGTTTCTATCCTACTCGCACCTGAGAGGCTGTTACGTGGTTTATTGGAACATGTCTGATGTACTTCCTGTTTCAGGCGGAGAGCCGGCAGTGTGCGGCGCGAGAAGGGTCTAGCTGCGGCCGCGGCCAGTACACGACACTACACGACACGCCCACTACACGACACGCCCACCTGACACGACACTACGGTGGCTGAGAGACATTACCGTACATGGCAGATTAAAAGCGAATTGACGACACTGACGCTGACGCAAGGATATTTAAGGAGACATGAGGTTTACAGAGAACAGACAAACAATATGGCGCACCGAGTACAGGTAATTAACGTATTGTGGTTTTAGATATAATTACATACTATTTATTTAGGTTCTCGTTTGTTTGTCGATGTGGCTGTTTAGCGCAGTGTAATTGTGTTTATTTTGCTAATTTGTATTTTAAATATTAAATGTAAAGGAATGGAATACATATATATATCTTAGCTCTTAGCTTGACATGCTCGACGTTCAGTTAGCATATATGCTAACTGAACATGCTCGTTCAGTTAGCATGTCAAGCCAAGAGCTAAGATATATGTATATATTTTAGCTTGACAGATGGAACAATGCATGTACTCGCATTTTTACAAGAATCTGATTTTGTGTGAGTTTTAAATATTCATTGAAGGTGTCTTTCACATTTGAATGTTTTAAAAAAAAAAAACATGTATTAGCTGCTATACTGACATGCACATATGTATAATTATATTATTATTTTAAGTGTGGTTTAAAGTTAAATTATATATAGTTATTGGGTAGAGCCAAGTAACCCAGGTGGATGCAATCAGGCCTCTGTTTTTAGATGGGGTTTGTGGCCATGCTGTAGGCCTGACATGTAAACCATAGACTGTATATATATAAAGATTTAAACTAGCTGAAGGGCTTTCTGTTCGAACCACAGTGACATCTAGAGGTTGTTTTGTGCATAACATGTCAACCAAAAGGGTAGAGCTGGCTGAATCAGATGGAGTTAAACTTCTTCTTTTTTTTTCAACAAGATATCAAGACACAAAATGTGCTCTACCAAATGGTGGCGCTGGCAGTTAAAGGGTTACCTTCTGAAAGTGAGGAAGTATGACCAGCTTTGTCCCATAGGATTATACAGGCCAGTCCATTGCTGCTTGTTTAAGGAGTTAACTATTTCCAATATTAAAGTCACTGAAATTGTATTCTATTTTATTCACCTATAGACAAACAACACAACACTCCGTGATGGAGCACGCCCAGAGCTCAACAAATTGGACTCGGACACCTTCCAGTGTCCATTTTGTGAAAGGACCGGGTCATACCCTGGTCTGATGGCTCATTTGCCGAGCCACCAGAGGGCACTTGTGAAATATGGAGGTAAGTACATCTATAATTCTATATGATCATTGTATACTTCATCACATTACATTACATGTTACTTGTTAGATGTGTTTAATGCCTCACACATTATGGATACATGTGTTATTTCTGTGCCCCAGGACATCCTTGGTGTAAATTAATTTTGAATTATAAATTGAACATTACAAATTAGATTTATATTCAGGTTATGAAGTGTTAATAATGCTGGAAAAGTATCCTTATTTGGGGTAGGCACAATATGAGCATAATCACACATTCAATCTGCAAAAATTCAGTTTATAGGCAAAAATATTATTGTTGGTGACATGATTATTTATTGCTCTCGCACAAACCCCTTGTTTCAAATTGCATATTTACAAGAAATTCATGTTGGTTTGTTTCTAGAATCCTCTAAACCACTTTCTGTCTCTTTTTTTAGGTTATAATGTTTATAAATGCCATCTCAAATGTGTGGCCAGCAAAAAAAAACGGTATCAGTGTCTTATTATATATTCATCACAGTGAATGCAGTGAATGCTGAACTTGCCGGACCATATACTGTAGTTGAAAGTACACAATGAAACACTGGCTTGCTTGTATCAAATCAATACAATTCCCACATGCCCTACCCCGGAACCTGCGGTCTTCAGACTCTGGCCCCCCGCACCAACCTGCGATCCTTCGGGGACAGAGCCTTCAGTATGGCAGCCCCCACTCTCTGGAACGCTCTCCCTGCGGAGATCTGCAAGATCCCCACGCTTGACGCCTTCAAAAGGGCCCTCAAGTCTGCCAAGGTCTTTGGCCCCAAATCTATTTGTTTTGTCTGTCTAACTGTTCGTCTGACTGCCTTTTGTTATGTTTGTTTCTACTCCTGTTCTTTTTAAAGCAACCTTGGGTCTCATGAAAGGCGCTATATAAATCCAAGTTATTAATACATCATTGGAACGGTAAGAATCTCAGCTACAACACTGACTAAAGCCTTCCCATCTCCAGTATGCCTACATGACAAGCATTTTTATAATATACAGTAAACATATCTTTGACTTATTGCAAAATTATAATATGAAATTCACCCCTGCTGTCATTCTGGCTTTGACTGTTCAAATGAGATGTCAACCATCAAAATGGGATAAGGGGTTCCAGAAATATCACTGCAAAACACACCGGCCAATTTTGACCGATAATAGTATGGGAAGGGGGGTATGACCGAACGCAAGAGAAGAGACAATCATCAAGCCAGATACCAAGGTATTTACAACAGGCAACCACTTCAATTACTTTTCCTTTATGTTATTGTTATTTGGTTTTTATTAGTGCTTTTGTCGTTTTGAAGGAAAATAAAATACTGTATTGAGTTGGTTTCTTCTGTTTTGGAAGCCTTGTTTATCTTTTTGGTCTTGTTAGAAATACCCCATGGTAAAACTGTGTTCTAGCAGCAGTTAAAGAAGCTTAGTTTGCTGTCTTAGACTGCCAGATGTATTAAGATGGTTTGTTCACAATTTACACATAAAACCTAAATGTACATCTGTTTATTGTTCTTCTTCCTTTATATTCAAAGCATGTTGATTGTCTATTGGCTATATCTTGACATTATGTTAATTTGATCATACTTGCCATACATTTATTTTAATTGATGCGATTCCTTCAAAGGTTTTGTAATAGACCCCTAGTACTTTTAATTTATAAAGTAATAATACATGTGAATGATTGAGCTCATTAGTGGCCTGACTGGCCCTCCTAATTTGTTCCTTAATGACCCCATGATGTGATTATGTATATCTTAAAACCTTTAACAACTATATTTAGATGTTCACAAATATCTACATTTATGTATAAAATACATGTGTAGCAGTTAGACAAACATAATCAATAGATTATCTCATTAATACCTATTTTATATATTAAAAAAAAGTTTACTAAACCACCGTTTGTTGACAAAATGATTTGGGTTGAAAGTTATACTGTTGTGTCTCAAACGGATAGACTAGGTTATTAATTTATTTGCCTAATAGTTGCTTAAAATGCTACAATAACATTTGCAATTCGTTTTTAATCTGCCATGTACGATCTCAATAATAATAAGTGTCGTCAATTCGCTTTTAATCTGCCATGTACGGTAATGTCTCTCAGCCACCGTAGTGTCGTGTCAGGTGGGCGTGTCGTGTAGTGGGCGTGTCGTGTAGTGTCGTGTACTGGCCGCGGCCGCAGCTAGACCATATTGTGCGGCGCTGCTGTCGGCGGGGGGGAGGCCGGCTGGCTGCGGCCCGTTGTCGGCTCTCAGGTCCCGCTGGACCAGACCCCCCAGGCCTGACATCATCCAGTGTCCCGGGGCTGCTGGGAAGATCGTCCTGACCATGTGATGAGGAGACCACCATAAAGGGGAGGGGCTTACTACATCAATGCTTGATCCGGTTACATTAGCCTACTCTTAAAATAATGACTGGAGATCACCTTTTGAAATGAGAACTAATGTCCTCATTTATCATTACTTTGTAAATCATGAGCACTAGAATATGTGGAGGATCGCTGTTGAACTTTTTAAAACATCAGTTAATCATTAATGATGATAACATGACCTAAGAATCAACATTTCATCAGAAATGTGACTATATAATATAACAATGAGGTTTGAAAGACTCTTGAGAAGATGGACACTCTGTGAATATGTATTTTCATGAATAGTTTGACAAATGAAGTGATGAATAAAACACATTTCTCTATTTTCTTTTATTTGCTGATGTGAAAAAACAATATTGACATTTACCAGTGGTGAAATGTAAAGTAAAGCAAAATAAAGTATTTTTACACGGTAGTATTTTCTACTTTTACTTGAGTGAAATATTTGAGTACTTCCACCATTGAAATGTAGGAAGATGACATGGGAAGGAGCAAAGTGAACGGCTAATTTCAAACAGCACCTGTGCATCTCAGGTGACAGCAGGCTCTACTGAGCATGCTCAGAGACACACAGGTAACCTAAGCTACACACACACACAGTCACACAGTATCTGCTCTGCACTGCAGCAACATGACAGAGCTCCCTGTGGAAGCAGACGGAGAGCTACACATCAGGGCTGTGTATTAATATGTCAGTGGAGCGTACCATGTCATCAGCAGGGGTGGACCTTCTGATCAACAGGTGAGCAGCTTGTTTCAATGATCTGAAACGAATCACTGTTTGTTTAGTTGAAGTGTATGTTCAGAAAGAGGATCAATATCTGTGCATGGCAGGAGAACAGCTCCTCACAACAGCTCTCTGTGTGTTTGTCAATCAGCTGTGAGTATACATAACATATATACAGTATATATATATATATATATATATATATATGTATGTATGTTTGCTCTTCTATTGAAGTATTTGAACCGTCTCATGAAAATATTTAGTCAACGCTGGGAACCACTGAACAGGAAGGTTCAAGGAATTTGATTCACAAATTGAGGTTAAAGTTCCTAATAGGTTCATGACTTGATTTGATATGTATTTTAAATCTAATACCAAAAGAGAAATGTGATGCACTGTGGGCACTGGTAAGGGCCTCTAACGTGCTTCAGTGAAAGACAGGCTGATGAAATGGTGTTGGGTAATCAGTAGTTTATTACCTGACACAAGACATCATGTACCCAGCGTGCCGAGTCATGTAAACCTGGGCAACAGCGTTCATCTGTCCACACGTACCCCCTGATCTCGTCCTCACCCCTGCCCTGTTATTTTGTGTCCTGAACCTAAATTAAGCTGTTGTGTCACAGCATTCAGCATGTGTTACAATGTACCGCCGTGAAGTGTCACAGGTAGGTGGGTCCATTTCCCCCCGTCAGAACCATTTCATTGGTAACAGACATTCAATGGACTGATTATAATCAAAACGTGTGAAAATGTCTAATGCGGCTTTCACACCAGCGCTTTTCCCTTTCTAGCTCCTAGCGAGAGCTTTTCTGGTTCAGCTCCGGTTTCCCTTTTCAGCTCCCGCTCTGTTCACACCGCCCAGAGCTGCCGAGAGATTTTCTCCCACAACAACAACGGGCCAGGGACTGCGTCGGGTCGACGATCGTGTTGCTTTTAATCATACGAAGCCAGATTAAATTAAATAACGACTTCTCCAACCTTATACTTTTCTCCAGAGTGCCGTGGTTCATTGTTTATTAATGTGTTTCAGCGGCATTTACCGACCGCTGCAGTGCTGGCTGCTCTTCCACGGGAGTTTATTCTCCCGTTAGCTCACACGGCTCTAAAGTATTCACTGTCTGACTGTCACACAAGCAGCTGATACATATCCCCAGTTCCCCTTAAGTGAATGTGTGTCAGTCTGAATTGACGCTGTTTGGCATCACAACGCTGTTATGAAAGTTTCTCTGGTATAACATGGGTGATGTTAGCATAGCAACCGAAGCTAAACTGACTACTTGCTAAGCCGTTTTCTCCAGGCACATTTTACCGACGTATTTTTCATTATGATTCTACTTGTGATAGTCGGACATGACAACCTGTACAGCCCATGTATTAATTCCATCCGATAGCTGCTATAATAACAAACAAAACGTCTGCCTGCTCTCCACAATGATCAATAACAGCGAACGGATGGTCAAAGTAAGGTTTCCTGCACGCCTCGACGTAAGCGACGCCGCGTCATAGCTCCAAAGCTCTTGCCTCTGGACCGACAACTTTTTGGAGCTGGAAGTGAACCGCATTCCGGAGCTATGACGCGCCGCCGCTGCGGTGTGAACAGGAAAAACCGGCGCTTTTCAGGCTCTAGCTCCCAGCAGGAGCTGGAAAAGCGCCGGTGTGAAAGGGGCATTAAAGAACCACACAATGATGACAAAGAGGCTAACAAAAAACTGTAACAGCTCACTGTCCGTTAGCAGAAGAGCTTCAGAAACATGAGAGGCCTCACTCTGCTGCAGTGTCTGTCTGTGACCACCAGCCAGCATCTCTGGGGACAACACACACACACACACACACACACACACACACACACACACACACACACACACACACACACACACACACACACACACATACACACACACACACACACACACTACCAGTTTGTTGCAGACACATGTATCACTGTTTGCCTAGCAACTATGAGCAGACAGTGGACCAACACAGCGACGGTCTCAGAGACGCTGCATCAGAGGGTTTCAAAAGCGTTGGTCCGGGGACACTTATGGCGCATTTCCACCATGGCGCGGAGCCGTGTCGTGCCGTGCCCATTTTTGGTTGCGCTTCCACTAGGCCTAGTAACGGCCCGGCCCGGCCCGGGGCCACTTTTTCACCTCTTTTCTGGCCCGACAAAATTGGGGTTCTATCAGGGCCAACAAACAGGGCTGAGTCGGGCTGAGTATGCTAAACTAGAGAGAGGATCGCTGGCAAGGGGGCTACAACTACAACAAGATGGACATATTTGACCGTGATTTAATTGTAATACACGTTTCAAAATGATGCCGAAGTAACAACATACTGATACCGGTTAGTAAAAACCATGAATTAATGCTTTGTCAAGTCTGCAGACAGACGGCAGGCGAAAAACCTTTTAAAATGCGTGTTTTCTAGATGGAGATTGGCTAAGCTAACGCAGTATATGCTCCGACCGTCCACACTCACAACAACGGCCTATACAGACATAAATAAAGCAGCGACTGTATTCGCCATGACACAGGCAGTCTGTGGTTTGTACTTGTTTAACTTGTGTCGAGTTTCTGAACATATATAAGGAGCTGTGAGCTCTGAGTGCTAACAGCTAACGGCTGTGTTGTTTTTCTGGGGTTCTCACTGAAGATGACGTCACGGCTCCGCCTACACTGCGTTACTATAGTAACTACCCCAGTTCCTAAACTGTAATGGAAGCGCAGCATGAAGTGAGCCGGCCCTGTTAAGGCCCAACGCGGCCAAGCAGTACCGAGCGTGGCCGAGGCCGACCGTGTGGTGGAAATGCGCCAATAGAGGTCTCTGTTGGAGCTCCAGAGGGCCAGAGCTAGAAGAGTAAATCAATGTTCTTTTTCTCCAATTTTTCTCCAATCTTTAAAAATAAAATAAACATCCATATGACAGACATCACAATCGTTTTTTTGGGAAGCATCATTTTTTTAAACACAACACATTTTTGCATTGGTATGTTACTTTTGAATAAAAACAACCAAATGGTCAGACACAAAAGCCCTTTAAATATAAATAATTAATAAAAAATAAACCGAATTATTAGTGAATTATTTTTAAAAACAGGTAAAATAACAACAACGACAGACATCATAATGTTTTCATCGCTGTTACTGTTTCCAAAGATCTGATGAGGTGTGTGTTGGTCACACAGATGCTGACAGTGTACAGGTTACAGGTGTATGGAAGAGATGACCCGTCATGTGACCTCTGCTGTAACACAACATGACCAGTGAGTATCTTACCGTTCCAGTGAGTATCAATGATCGATACATGAGCCAATCAAAGGTTCTTTCCCATCCAACCGTATCCTGAACAGCCAAAAACAGAGTCAACCTTTTAAAGTTAGTTTAGTGTTACAAGTATATTATAGATGTGAATTGCAGACTATTTACATAATTTCAGGTTATTGCAAGATCCTGTCTTTAATAGCACGATACCACATTATTCCATCAAAATACAATACACACCAGTTTTATTATGTTATTATTATTGTCATATATTTGTGGGGAAATGTAAATGTGTCTGCAGGGATTTTGCTGATGTTGCTGCTGTCAGTCATCAGAGCCAGGCGTGTCTCGCCTCTCCCATCATGCCCTGCTTCCTGTGTGGTTTGTTCTGAAGATGCACTCATCTGCCACAGACTGGCTCACATTATTGGTAAAACACACACACAAACACACACACACACACACACACACACACACACACACACACACACACACACACACACACACACACACACACACACACACACACACACACACACACACACACACACACAGTTTCACCAGGTAAAACAAGTTTGGTAAGTGATTTATTTAGTTGATTAGACATGATAATAATGTTACTTAACCTTTCTAACACACAATAACTGTACCTTGTGTTTACAGTGCCTGAGGAAATTAAAACTCAGCTGAGAGTAAACATTAATGCTTTTAGTCGTATATGTATAGAACCTCGGGTATTGTCTCTGCTGTGTGACAACAACAGACACTTCCTGACAATCCTGCCACAAAAACAAATAAGACAAATGTACCTGGCTAGATCACAGATCACTGTGTGTGTTCACTGTGTGTTCCCTGGGTGTGTTCACTGTGTGTGTTCACTGTGTGTGTTCACTGTGTGTGTTCACTGTGTGTGTTCAGGCGCTGCCGACACCACCAAGGCTCTGCTGCTGATGGAGGGCTCCATCTCCTCGGTACAGCCTGCCTCTCTGTCTGACCTCAGCAACGTCTCAGTCATAGGTCAGTACTGTACGTTTGTCTGTGAGTGTGTACATGTGTGTGTATATAGTACACAATAGTCATTATATACAGTCTTTAATTAACTATTAGTAGAGAATAACGAGTAATGAATATACTGTATAGGGATCCTATTAATATCTAATAATAATACAAATAATAAAATGCAATAACGTGCTTTAACCAGTAGGTGTCCCTTTCTATCAGCTGTGCACCGTTATGGTGTAAATACAGCCTATCTACCAATTGGATCAAATATAAAAGTCAGCCGAATTAGTGTTGATACTGCAAGGAGACGTATTGTGTGAAAATAAATCTAAGATGTTGTTTAACTGCTGATATATTTATGATCCACGTCACGTTTTCAGTTTTGGCGGCAGTTCTTCCTGTTTTCAGATAATAAACACCATTTCCCAACGTGCATTGCGGCTAAACCGTCCAATCACCGAGCTGAGGATCTTGCATACGTCTGTTTCCGGTGTTTATGACGATGTGAGATGTGAGATGTGAGACTGGGTTGGAGAATTGCACAGGGGAAAATAACGTATCTATGCCGCGGATTTTGTTAAACTAATACGTTTGCGCTGTGGACTAACACTATAAATTGACGGTGAAGGGGGGAGCAATAAAGATAACACCATTAAACAGTTACACAACATAACAGACATAATATCGATAGCAGCGTCCCTAGCAACCACAATTTCCTGAAGTAATCTTCGTAATAACTAGCAAACTAAAGATCATGTACATCCACTGCACACATAATCTGAAATAACAACTCATATTTCTCGCATCAAATGACATCAAAACGCATTTTAATGGCCAAACTAACCTTAAAATAGGCATTTTCTACCGAGAATAAAACGAAGGTCGGCCATGTTTTTTTATTTCTGCGGAGAGAAAGTTGAAGATCACGTGACATAGACGCCAGCCATTGGAAATGAATGGTGAATAAAAACGTAGGGATCCTACAATTTCAGAGGCGTTTTTGTAGAAATACTACGTCCCAAGTTGTGGACCAACGTAGTTATTACACGTTTAGATGTGAGACTGGGTTGGCATATCTCTGTGTGTCCTTCAGGTCTGAGTCATAACCGTATCTCAGTTCTGGGGGAGCAGTCCTTCAGGAACCTGCCTCTGCTACACACCTTACTGCTGGACCACAACCTGCTCACCAGCCAGGCCCTACAGGGGGGGGCTCTGACCAATCTAACCCGACTAGAGGTCCTCGCCCTGGGCCACAACCTCATCAGCATGGTGGGTATCACTTCAGGGAAATAATTAACTGGGAGTATATCAGAAGCTCTGTTCAGCTAGTGGTTGTATGATTTTAAGCGTTCAGGTGATCCAGTGGATGAGAAGTTATTATTTTACCAAGGTCAGAATGTGACATTATATGTTGGTGTAAAGCTCCACGCTGGCTGGTTTAGAGGAAGCAGGGCCCTGAGGAGCCTGAAGCTGGAGGGAAACCTGCTCACCAGTTTGGACTCTGGATCATTTCCTCTGAATGACCTCCAAGATCTGGAGAGTCTGGATGTGTCAGATAACTTGATACATCATCTGCATCGAGAGAGGTTAGTAAATGTTTCTTTCTGCCGTTTTACATGCTATTGTAGGGCACACTGTATCATATAACACACTATACTGTATGTCCTCTCCTGATCGCAGCTTTGGTGGGTTGGGGAGCCTGCAGAATCTGGATCTGTCCAGAAACCGTCTGAGTTCCGCTCCTGCTGAGGCGTTTTCCTACCTCAGCTGGCTGACCAACCTCAACCTGGACCTGAACACCTGGAACTGCTCCTGTCAGCTGCTGGAGCTGGCTGCCTTCCTGTCCACCTTCATACAACAACCTGACAAGGTGCCTCCTCTTCATCACTTACACATGTATAATGCTGCTTCTCCTGTTTTATCAAATACAACATTAAAATAAATGAAATAAGGAAAATAAATGTTGTTAAAGCAAATATTACTGTATGCCTTGGGTGGAAAAAAACATGCAATTATATTAAAGGTGCATTATGTTGGATAAAAACTTAAACAGATTCTGATTCTGGAGGATTTCGATTTTGAATCGAGCAATCATTTCCTTGTAGTCAAAGTCAACTTTATGGTAAATTCCTCTATTTGTGTGACACAGACAGGGGGATTGAAATTCAGTTTCTCACCATCCCAGAGAATAAAAATATATAAAAAGAAATAAATACATATGTACTGTATATACATACATACACGCCTTACACCACTTATATATATATATACAAATACATAGACACAAATATACATATACACACATTTAGCGGTAGAAATCAAAAATCAAATAAACAGTTAATATACAAAAAATAATGGTCAAGGGTCTGAGTCTAGTTTAGTGGGCTATACTGCTAAACTGATTAATTTAAAAATATGATATAATATTTCTACAGTACAAATATATACAGTATTGCAAAACTGTCAAAAGCAGCGTGGGAGAAAAAGTGTCTGCAGCATACTGGTTCAGTTTATTTCAAGGATCTGTCTTTAAATGATAAGTAGAACACTGGTTGGCTTTACCCTGACATCTCCCCTCCCACCTGCGGCTCTCAGACCCTCTATAATGGCCGTCGGATGGTGTGTGTGAGCGCTGACAACCCGGCAGTGACCACAGTGCTGGAGCTGACTGAAGCCAACTGCGTGCCGTCCAATCAGAACATCACCGTGCAGGTGGAGGCGCGAGGCAGCGTCACACCTCGACTGTATGCCCGAGACCTGGCCATCACTGCAGTCCTCTGCTTCACTGGTACCACTGAGACCACATATCACTCACTATTTCATCAGAGAAAGTTAAAGATCATTAGATTCACAACAAAGACAAGTGTTTCTTCAGCTCAAAGAAACAGATGCAACAAATATAAAAAGTAAAAAAAAGTTGTACTTTATGTTTTGAGGATTTGGCAACTGCACCACTATACACCAGAGTTACATACAGCAGCCTGTATAGTACAATACACACAGTCGACGTCCTCAGTTCCAATGGGTTAAAATAACGGACACAATTTCATCTGCTCAATGTGAGATCAGTGGATACCATTGATACTGTGTTATAATAATTCATAAACATTCAGTCAGTTGTGACTTGCCACTTACTTACTACTTAACAGATAGTTTGTTTAGTTTGACCTCATTTCATTGACATGATTTTATATGTGCGAAACATGATTCATATACATGTACATATATACAATCAATAATATAATGATTGTAATATATTAAGATACAAAATTATAACAAATCCCCCCTAATAACCTTTTTTTCAATCAAAGTTTATTATTTTTATTTTCTGCTAATGGGAAGCGTCTCCATTGAACCACGCAACGCTGCCGTGTGGACGTACCGTTAAGTTGCTAGTTGTTATGTATAACTGTTACATTGCTTTTTTGGTAGCAACACGGCTCTGCAAAGCCTAACTTTACATGGGAAGTAAACACAGTCACAACAGAAGAGAAGCATGCTGAGCTAGCTTACCTGCTAACCACAAACTAGCTTGCTATCTTGCTAGTTTTGCCCCTTTTGGAATCAATTACTTGATATTTAAGAGAATGACTACTCACTGTTCAAATTGCATTCATATGATATCATTTTGATGATGATATCTTAACAAATGCTGCTCTTACAAGACATCTTCAGAACTCAGTGGCCTGGATATGATCTCAATCAATGTGTTATGTAAAACATGCTTAACAGCAGCATTATGTAGAATGTGTGAAGATGAATATGAATACTTGTTAACATTTAACAAACTATGAATGTGTCATACCCACTTAACGGGAAGAAACTCAGCTATCAGACAATATTAACCATTTTTAGCTAAACAAAACACAAGGGTAATAACAAAGGCTCTGAATTAGCCCTGAGCAAAAAAATGCTGACGCACTTAGCACAGAACTCATGGTAAAATACCCTTATTACTTATCGGATCTGCACAAACAAGATATCGATTAGCAAGCTGAGATTCCACATATTCCAGAAATATAAGTATCATCACTGAGCGATCAGAACTCGCGACAGGGGAAGAAAACCCAGAGATCACACAACGTAGCTTTACGGAGCAAACACGGGACATTGTCTTACCTTTTGCTGTTTCTGATCAAAGGTTGTGTTCAATGGCATTAAAATGATAAAAACGCTGCTGAAGGTTAATCCATAGGTTAATCCAATGTGTCTGAAATGATTACTGATAATCCATCTTGATATTTATGTCAATAATGGAGTTTTCATATATAGCCAACCCAGTCTCACGGCATTTCGTGTTATTAGTCACGAAATTAATTTAATCTATTGATTCGTGTTCACCAACACGATTTTCACATTTTTTTCGTGTCACACAGAACGATTTTAAATGCAATGTATTTCTATTGGTAGTATGTTTCGTGCCTGCAACACGTCTTTTTGTCCGGTCGGGTCTTGGAAGACCAGAAGCTGTGTGGTTCATAAAAACATGTTCTTACTCAATATCTTACCCTAAGCCTAACCCTATCTCTTTTATTTTAAATTGTATAATGTCTGAGTTTTTTTGCCGTCAGTGAGGAAAAGAAATGGGGCTCAGAGCCTCAGAATACTGAAATCTGTATTTTATGTCATCTTTTTTTCCTTCTAATTTGTTATTATTTGGTGCAGGCACGAAACATACTACCAATATAAATACATTGCTTCTAAAATCGTTCTGTGTCAGAATACTTAAATCTGTATTTTTTTAAATGTCTTTTTCCTTCTAATTTGTTATTATTTACATTGCTTTTAAAATCGTTCTGTGTGACACGAAAAAAATGGCGAAATCGTGTTGGTGAACACGAATCAATAGATTAATTTCGTGACTATAACACGAAATGCCGTGAGACTGTGTTGATATAGCTGCTATGATAGCTACCAGAGTGTATGACAGCTTCCGGTTTTGGGCATTCTGGCTACGCATCACTCATTCACCAATGGGTAATGTTTAGATGGATTTTAGGAACTTCCCCTCGATTCTATTGGCTCTAACGGTTAAAAAGAGGTTTCAATCGTCAAAATCGAACAAGGGGGGCCAGAGATATGGAAAATGCACCCAAATGACCCCAGAAGTGTTTGTTTGTTTGTGTTTGCGCGTTCACACCAAGTACTTTGCCGTATTTAGTGCCGGCACTCAGAGCCCCGGTACTTATTACCGCAGGGCATTTAGTACAGATTGCGCTCACACCGGAGTACTTTTCCCTGAGAGAAGATTACGCAAATGAGCCGCTGACGCCACTTCGTCTTCTTCTGCTTTGGGTTTACTGGCAGGCCGCAAACAACTTCACGGCGTATACTGCCACCCAGAGTCCCCGGCCGGAAGTCCCCGGAGTTGGGGACTGGCTTCAGTAGAAGCTGCTGGGACTCCCAGCAGCTTCTACTGAAGCCTTCCGAGTAAATCGCCAGAACGCCGACACCTCCTCATCTCCACCGCTCCCATGTTTTATTTTGTGTTGCCATAAGTTAGTCTCTCTGCGTTTGTGCGCTGGGCGAATGCTAATGCTAATAATGCTAATGCGAGGATAATAAAATGGCGGCTCTACAAAACATTTCAGAGTTGTACGGGGCGTGGTTTGCAATTCGCCCAGCCAATCAGAACTGGGGCACTTTTTTCCCCCAGGAAAGTACCATCTCTCAGCAGGCACTACAAATGGGGGTAAAAGTTCCCGAGATTAAGTGCTCTTTTTGGTGTGAACGCGACATAAGGGCTACTAACGGAACTAAACGCGAAAAGTACGGTGAAAAGTACTCCGGTGTGAACGCGGCTAATGTCACTTGTTTTGCATCAATCTTTTTTTACTATGTTCAATCTGAATTTACTTTAAAATAAAAAAAATGCTATATTGATTCTGACTCTTGACTTTGAGAAAAAAGATGATTAATTTACCCCTTTTAGAAGTGAAGATATAGTCATTTGTTCTGGGAATGTCATTTTCGAGCCTGAGGCCTGAAAAACAGGTTTGGGGCGCAACTGGTTAAAGACTTCCCTGTTTATAATCCTACCTGTTCTGTTTTGCAGGTGGAGTTGGCTTGACCCTGCTGGTAGTCCTGATCTGCTATCAAGTGTCTCAGAGGAAGAAATTGAAAGAAAGTCAAAGACAGAAAGAAGAGCGAAGCAACTCAGTGGTGAATCACCGTGAGAATCACCTAGATGTTAGTGAAAACAAGAGGGAACTCTTCCTGCAGGCACAAAGAGGACAGCCCTGGGACCGGAAGGCCATGACGGTGGATTCAAGGACAGATGGCCATGGTGGCCAGTTTAGGTCCAGAGCTGATGAGAACGGACATGTTTTGTGCCTGGACTGCAGCACCAAAGGTCCGAGAGGGATGGGTCAGAACCCATTGAGAGCCCGGTTGAACAGCAGGATCAACACAGGGATGGAGACAGAGGAGGAGGGACACATTAGGAGAATGAGGATACTGACAGAGGAAGACAGGAGGAGGCTTGAGACTCAGCAGGGAATATTAAGCAAGGACAAGCTTCCCCCCCGTGGCAACACCAACCATTCCTTTGTTCCAGAGAAACAAGCCTTTAGTCAGAGACCCGAGGCCCTGGCTGTTTATAGGATAAACAGAGAAATGGCAGAAAGCTACAGGACTGACATGGAGGGTAAGAGCAGAGGACCTGAGGCTGTCCCCTGCGAGAGCTGCCACCGGAGGCACAGAGCACCGGAGCAGAACCTGAGACATGGAAGGACTCCCCCCAGCATGAGAGACTCTGCTCCGTCTGACGGCTTACCTTCTCAGTACAGACAGATCGACAGGGGTCGGAATAATCACCACCACCAGTTTGACAGGATGAAGAACACAGAGTTGAGAAGAGAAGCAAGAAATGTAACGTTTGACCTGCAGAGTTCCAGAGGCCGAGAGCAAGGAAGCGAACACAACAGGGAGGAAGATGAGAGGGGATCCAGAGACAAAGAGAGAAGAAGACACAAATCAAGTCGCTCACTGAAGGTTAAACTAAACTTGAACCCGCTACGGAAAAGCAAAGTCCATCCGAAGAGGAAGACTGAGCAGGGCCACTCAGAGAGAAGCAGCTCAAAGAAGAGTAAAGATAAAGGGCAGGATCGAAAAGAAAGAGGAGAGGAGAGGGAAGGGAAAGGAAGGTCCGGGAAGACAAAGGGTAGCAGTGAGAAAATGAAGAAATCCTCCAAGGCAAAAGGATTGACAGAGGACGGAGAGGAAGAGGAAGCAAGAGAAGAAGGACAGAAAAGCACAGAGACAAAAGGTGGGGAGCAGAGAACAGAAGGAGACCGGGACGAGAACACACACTTGGAGAACACCCAACCTGGAGTCAGCCCCAGAGCTGCTGAACAATCAGCCACTGGACCGGGACACAGCACACAGGGGGGCAGTGTTCAGGGAGCTGGACTGGTTCTGGGTGCTCAGCCTTCCTTCCAGCAACCCTTATCCCTCTCTGCCCCTGACAGGGATCGCACTACCAACCTCTCCCTGCTCGGTACAGCTGGCTCAAACCTGACTGGCAGCAGCCTCTCTCAGCAAGCTGGGAGTATATTACTCAACACCCCCGCCCCAGGACCTAATCCACACTTCCCAGGTGGCCCAGGTCCTTCTATTGCTACTAGCATAGCCATCAATGGTGCCTCGGACAGCTTTAGCAGAGCAGTCAGGGTCGGCCTCATGGCTCCTGCTGCCTCTCTTTTAGCTAACACTGTACCTGCTAACCCTTTGCTAGCAACACATATATCCCCTCTTCATCCCTCCCAGTCTGCAGGACTAGCCTCAAATTTAGCAGCAAACCCACCCGGTAATCCTGCACCTGTGCCCTCACAGAACATGCTTCTCCCTGAAGATTCTTCTCTTGTAGTAAGCCTGAAGTCTGATCCAGGCCAAGGACCAGGCTCTCAGACTGGGGAAGGAGACCACCAGGGCCTCACAAAGGCTCCTCCAATCATGGATGGTTTGTCCACAGACACTACCCCTGCACCAGTGACCACTGTGGAGAATCTGTCAGACACTGAAGGTCAGACAGGAAGCGGACCCAGTGGCTCTACAGTCCATATATCAGCTGGGGGAGGGGCTCCAGGCCTGTTGGGAGGCAGCGTGCAGGCAGCAGATGTGTCAGGTGTTTCTGCAGCTCAGAGCGGATCCTCCACAGCCGAGGCACTGCTGCAGCAGGAGTACCTCTCAGAGGAGGGGGGAGCCTCCCCCAGGAGGAAGCTGAGGCTGGTTCTTCCTGAGAAGACTACCAGCCGACCACCCACCGCACTGGAGAGAAAAATACGCTAGCAGCTCAACCCGTGTTTAATGGCTGAATCGTATAAAAAGCACTTCCTCATTAAACATGGTTTACACCGGATGCAGAGACTATGTTCTTCATGGTATGAACTGCTGCTGGAAATTCTTTTTTTGTAATTTTTTGGTGTTAAACTGATTTTTGGTGTAGTTTATTTTTATAATTACATATTTCAACACAAAGTAAAAATGATTTGTGTTATTTTTTTGTTTAAAGTTGATTGTTGGCCTTCGTGTGAGAAAACCATACATGATGGTCATAAGCAGATGGTTGCTCAGTTGACTAAGAATAATGTGCACTTAAAGCACTTCTACATTAACTAAAATTGAAGTTTCATTTGAGTAAAAATCCTTGCTGTTATTTTTACGCTCCAACGGTCATTTTTTATCTAGAAACAGACTTTGACATACTTTCAATCCTGCCACATGATCTTCATCCCTATGAGTTTTCTTAACAAAATGTTAACTCTCAGAGCAACATGATATAAGGTCTTGTATTTTTCACTTATAGACAGACCCCTGTCATTATTTCAGACATTATTATGTGATTACATTGATGTTATTTTTACATTGCTTGTGATCTTTTCTAACCCAGCAAAACAACAGAAAGCTGGCAGGCCGGCTAACGGAGGTAGCGGTAGATTAGCGTACAGCAGCTATTGGTAAAGTAGCAGTTAGCGGTTAGCCTTTCGTTAGCAACTTGCTGAGAGTTGAGGCAGAGCAGCCGGAGGACAAAAGAGGAAAGCCAGAAAACATTTCTTCCTAAAATATGAACCGGTTTCAACAAAACAAACTTGTAAAGCACTGCAAAGCTTTAGCGTTATGCACTTCCCCTCAGAGACTGTACGACCCGCTCACTAACGTCACAGCGGGGAACAACCGGTAATCATGGCAGAGAGTGGGACCAAAAGAGGCATCATCCTCCTGGTTATCAGTGTAGCATCAAAGTGGTTTTGGAGATGTTTAAGGTAAAATGGTAACACAAGTTCCTCCATTTGCTGACGAAGATCATGTGATATAGTTGAGAACTCTAGAACTACTCAATAGATCTGGACATGAGGCTGATCTGTCGACTGAGAGAGACAGAGAGAGAGAGAGCGAGAGAGAGAGAGAGACTACAGTGAAATACTTCACTCTTTATCTGTAATCTTATTTAAATGTTCTTTGTGTATGTTTCATTTTAAAATGATGACTTTTCTCCAGCAGTTAGCCTTTAGTACCAGCAGTGTATTCAGATAGCCTACTTCACTTCAGTAAAAGTACCATTACATTATTGTCAAAATACTTCACTTCAAGTTAAAGTCCTGCATTCAAAATCTTACTTAAGTAAAAGTACACAAGTATTATCATCGAAATAAACTTAAAGTATAAAAAGTAAAAGTTGACATTCTGCAGAAAAATTGCCTTTAAGTGGGCTTATACTGTAATTATATTTACATCTGACATTTGTAGATAATATAGTTACATCAAGTAGCATTTTACTGTTGTAGACAAACAAAGATCTGATTGACTTTATTTTTTTAAATAATGTGACTCTTTTGTGACTCAGGGTGCATTCACACCTAATAGTCCGTTTCTCTGGTGCGTACCAGACCACAGTTTGTTACATTGTTTCATTTTTCAGAAGGTTCGGTTTGCGTTCACACAGGCAAAACTCAAACGGACTATAAACTTTAAACACAAATCATGTGCAGTCCCCTTGAATCGAACCTTGGTGCGTTTAGCCGCTTGGTGCGGTTCATTTGGGTCGGTGTGAACACAGTCTGAGACCTCTTAAGTGAACTAAACAACCGGACTCTGGTCCGCTAAAATAGGTGGTCTCGGAGCGCTTGCTAGTGAACTCTGGAGCGGTTAATCGCTGATGTGAACGCAGTCCGCACCAAAACATAGGAAGCGTAGTATTTACGTGTCACAAGAACGTGGATGTCTTCAAAAATCTTTAGTGAAAGAGTCTTTCAAGACATCCGCGGTTGTTTAGTTAAAGAGTGAAGCAGAATTAAGTGTTGAACTCAGGGTCGGCTCTAGAACAAATCGAATGGGGGGGCAATCATTTACCACGGGGGGGCACACACTGCCGTCAACAACCAACACACAAACACCAACGCAACTTCAATTTAAAAAAAAACATGCTGTAAAGTCTCTTGTTTTCACACACATGGGTGTAGTGCTATTTTATAGCGCACCTATGACTTGTGCATACACGCACGGTTGTGGCACTGTTAACATTCAGGTAAATATGTTACCAATTTGTGTTATTTGTTGTGCATGACTGGAAGCCAATAGCGTAACAGGTTAAAGGTCAATGATGGGTATAAATAAAGCCACGCCTCCAATGGGAGGGCCCGTTGAATGAAATGCCACTGTCTCTGATGTTTCGTTACTCCTCCGCTTATTTGGATGCTAAACAGCAATGAAGTTATGCTTACTCTGCTAACAGGTTATGGGCCCAGAGACACCCAAATAAGTATTTCCGGCGTTTGTCCACCGATGGAAAGTCGCAACGTAGCACGTGTGGTGGATTAGCAAGCTAAGCTAACGCCATGAGCAGGTTGGGCGCAGGTTCCAGTACCCGCTGGTCTCGGTTAGTGTTTGACGGGGATGAAAAGAAGTATGAACTGTGGGAGACGAAATTCTTGGGCCATCTTCGCTTACAGGGACTGAAGAATACTATTTTAAGGAGTCCTACGGACATAATTGAGGAAGATGAAGAGGCGGACGATGAAAGGAAAAATGAAGAGGCTTATGCAGAGCTTATCCAATTTCTTGATGACAAAAGTTTGTCCCTTGTAATGAGGGAGGCGGCGGATAATGGTCGGCAGGCATTGAAGATTTTAAGAGACTATTATGCAGGCACAGGTAAACCACGTATTATCAGCCTATATACTGAACTGACATCACTCCTAAAGTCAAGCAGTGAAAGTGTGACGGAGTATATAATACGTGCAGAGACCGCCATCACCGCTTTGAGAAACGCGGAGGAGAAATTAAGTGATGGGCTTCTTGTAGCAATGGTTTTGAAGGGACTGCCAGAATCATTTAAACCATTCGCCATACACATCACGCAAATTGACCGGATAATAAGTTTTGCTGAATTTAAGACTAAGCTCCGCAGCTATGAGGATACTGAGCGAATGCGCACACCGCCACCAGAGGACAACGTCATGAGGGCGCGGGAACAGTTGAGAGCGAGACGACCCTCTGTACCAAGAGCATGGGATAAAGGAACCAAGTGTGCAGACATTGTTTGTTATAGATGCGGCCTGATTGGACACAAGGCCGGAACGTGCCAACGTAAGCTGTGGTGCAGTCATTGTAAGAGCAACACGCATCGGGATGCAGCCTGCAGGCGGAAGCAGCGACGGGAGGACGACGCGCGGAAAGCTTCGGATGAAACGACTGGCGAGGAGTATGCTTTCCGAGTCAACGACGTGGACAACAAGGTCCAGCCAGGACGCAGCATCACCGAGAGAGGACTGATGGTGGACACAGGGGCGACTTCACATATCGTCACGGATGTAAAAAAGTTCAAGAGGTTTGATGACGACTTCCAGGCTGAGTCCCACTGTGTGGAATTAGCTGATGGTACCAGGTGCAATGGTGTAGCAGAAGGAAGAGGGGACGCTGTTATTATTATGGTGGACAGCATGGGGAAAAGACACAAAACAACTCTGAAGAAGGCGTTGTACATCCCATCGTACCCCCAAGACATTTTTTCTGTGAAAGCAGCTACAACCAAAGGAGCAACGGTAACCTTCAAGCAGGGCAAAGACGTCCTGCAACACAAAGACGGTACAACATTTCACATTTATGAATTGACTTTATTTCTTGAACACAGTAAATGATGAATGTGATGACCAATGCAACAGGTGTTATGATTTACAGACATGGCATGAGATCCTGGGACACTGTAATTATGATGATATTCAGAAGTTACAGAATGTTGTTAATGGCATGTCAGTTAAGGGTAAGGTAAACAAACCTCCACATTGTGATGTATGCACTAAAGGGAAGTTTACCCAAACCAGGAACAGGGAGCCTGATGTAAGAGCCAAAGCAGCTCTAGAGTTGGTGCACACAGATATAGCAGGACCAATAGATCCGCAATCCAGAGAAGGCTTTAAGTATGCTTTATCATTCACAGATGATTACTCCAGTGCAGTGTTTGTGTATTTCCTTAAAAACAAAAGTGACACAGTGCAAGCAACAGAGAGATTTCTGGCCGATACTGCCCCATACGGGAAAGTAAAATGTATCAGGTCAGACAATGGCACAGAGTTCACAGGGAAACATTACCAAGCATTACTATGCAGTAATAGGATTAGACATGAAAAGTCAGCACCGTATTCCCCACATCAAAATGGCACTGCTGAAAGGAATTGGCGCACACTTTTTGACATGGCCAGGTGCATGCTTATAGAAAATGAGATGCCAAAAAGTATGTGGACCTATGCAGTACAGACAGCAGCTGTAGTAAGGAATAGATGCTTTAACAACCGCACAAAACAGACACCTTACTTTATGCTGACAGGTAGACGGCCTAACCTTTCCAGAATGCACAAGTTTGGGTCAGTGTGCTATGCCTATAAGCAAGACAAAAAGAAACTGGACTCAAGGTGTGAAGAGGGAATTTTTGTTGGATATGACAAAAATAGTCCAGCCTACATGGTATATTTCCCTCACAGTGGAAAAGTGCAAAAATCTAGACTTGTGAAGTTTGTGACCAAGACCAATTCAGAAAGAGAAACACAAACAGAAACCGTCTCTGATGATGATTTTGAGGTACAGAACAAATCTGGCAAAAACAAACGTGATACTAACGTAAGTCCAGTATCTATACCTGTTGTAACAGAGACAGAAGACAAGAGTGAGCTTAGGCGTTATCCTTCAAGAGTGAGGAAGAAGCCAGCTTACTTATGTGACAGTGTATGTGGTAAGGAGAGTGAGGATCAGCTACTGACAAATATTGGCTATTGTTACAGATTAATGTGCAATATCCCTTTAACATTTAGGGAGGCTGTAACTTCATCTGAGTCAAAACAATGGGTTATTGCAATGGATGAAGAAATGCAATCACTAAAAGAGAATGACACATTTATCCTGACCAACTTACCTCAAGATGAGAAAGCAGTGGGGGGTAAATGGGTGTACGATATCAAAACCAATGTTGATGGATCCGAAAGATACAAGGCACGATATGTAGCCAAGGGATACAGTCAGAAGAGGGGTGAAAACTATGATGAGACATTTTCACCTACCGCTAACCTCACCAGTATCAGAGTGTTAATGCAAAAAGCAGCACAGGAAAATCTGATTTTACACCAAATGGATGTTAAAACTGCTTACCTACATGCACCAATGGACTGTGAGATATACATGGACCAGCCAGAGGGTTTTGAGGTCAAATCTAGTAAAGGTGAAAAGTTGGTGTACAAGCTAGAAAAGTCATTATATGGGCTTAAACAGTCAGGCAGAAATTGGAACAAAATGCTACATGAGTATCTGAGTGAAAATGAGTTCCTACAGAACCCTGCTGACCATTGTGTTTACACAAAAGAAACTGAAAACTGGAAAGTGATAATGATAATATGGGTTGATGATATAATCATTGCAGCTAGTGATAACAATGCATTGAAAGTTGTTAAAGAGATGCTCACAGCTAAATTCAGGATGAAGGACTTGGGCTGCTGATCTAACCGACAGACGTAGTATGTCAGGTTATTGTGTTAGCCTTAATGAGAGCGGGCCACTGGTTTCATGGAAAACCAAAAAGCAGCCAACTGTTGCTTTATCAACTTGTGAAGCCGAGTATATGGCTTTAGCAGCTACTATGCAGGAGTGTATGTACTTAATACAACTACTAAAGGGCATTGACAAATGTGAATATACACTACCTACGATTTACGAAGACAACCAGGGCACAATAGCGTTGGCAAAGAATCCTGTTAACAGACAGAGATGCAAGCATATTGACATTAAGTATCATTTTCTGAGGTCAACTGTGGAAGGGGGAAAAACAAATCTGATTTATTGTCCAACAGACCAGATGGTGGCAGATGTTATGACAAAACCTGCACCAAAGTTTAAGTTGATTAAGTTTGCAAAGTTTATGTTTGGTGAGTAACAATTTCTGTAAGGTAGAGAACCTTATAATGTTTTTATTTGTTAAAAGACCACAAATGTGTTATCAAGTGGGGGTGTTAACATTCAGGTAAATATGTTACCAATTTGTGTTATTTGTTGTGCATGACTGGAAGCCAATAGCGTAACAGGTTAAAGGTCAATGATGGGTATAAATAAAGCCACGCCTCCAATGGGAGGGCCCGTTGAATGAAATGCCACTGTCTCTGATGTTTCGTTACTCCTCCGCTTATTTGGATGCTAAACAGCAATGAAGTTATGCTTACTCTGCTAACAGGCACGACCACCAAAACAGAAACATATGGACATACTGTAGACCACCATATAAAAAGTGCAAATGTAATTAGTATCCTATCCATGTGAACAAGTTTTAGGTGGGGGGTGGACCTAATCTCCTCTAGGAGGGTCTGGGGGCATGCTCCCCCGGGAAGATTTTTTTTTTAATATTGAAGTTAAATGCATCAATCTGGTGCACGAAAGCGAAATTAAGAGATCTATGGATACATCTCTCAACACCCATATGAAACAGATCTGTAAACAGATGTACTTTTTCTTTATGGATATTTTATTAATCACTCCCCTTTTAAACTGTATTCTTGTGTTACTGTCCTATAGTATTTCATACCTGTTTTTCATTTATTCTCTTATTTTTTAATAACTATAATGATCATATAAAGGTGTTCCTCGCAAATACTTGTTTACATAAATGGTGACCAAACCGTTTGAGACCCACTGAGATAACTTAGACTAAAGTGAACTATCTAAACACTGAGAGAGTCCTTTACCTCACTGAGCTGACGTTATAAGATCCTCTCAGTCTGACAGGAGAGGACTCTCCTCCACCTTGGTGTAGAAACAGCTCTTTATATCCGTTAGCATAGCTAGCTAACCAGATGCTAACAACAACATTCCACGTTACCGCTCGCGCATTCACAAAATGCGCTCGTGCCACACACACACAGAGCCGAGCTTGAATGAAACACAGAGACCCAGAAGTACTTTTTCTGTACTGTATCATATTATTTTCGATGGCTTTACTGTATAATCAGTATAACAGATGGGCAGATCGCCACTGGGCTTTCATCTAAACACACAGCCACGTAATGATAACAAAACAAAGGTCGGGGGTCATTGGTCAAGCAACACACCAATCAGAGAGCAGCAGTGAGCACACCTCAGGCTGTGTTTTATATTTGTATTCTTTATTTCTGATTTATTTCACACAAAAAACTTTTAGTGGAAACGTTTTCACTTATATGATTAACAAAAAAAAAAACGGCAAAGTGGCAGGGCTTGCCCGCCCTGCGTTGGGGGGGCACAGTGACTCATTTGGGGGGGCATGGCCCGCGAATGACCCCCCATGATGCCGACCCTGGTTGAACAGTGTCGTGTAAAGTAAAAATGCTCCGTCAACTACATAAAATTAAGAACACCTGTCGTCGGTGAAACGTCCCTCCTTACTGCAGAACGTCTCTCATTATATGTGTTATAATGTTTTTTTACGGACGTTGTCTGATTATATAATCATTTGCGCGGGCCGCTAGTGTCTGTTGATCTCCAGATTAACAGCAGCATGAGGATAACCTGCCGAAAGTGCCGATGCTCCATGGCGGAGGCTCCGATAGAAATTGCCGGGATTTGCGTTTTTACCCCCTTAATGTCTGACCAATGGTTGAACAGCATTTCCGTGCACATGACTTGTGTTTAAAGTTTATAGTCCGTTTGAGTTTTGCCCGTGTGAACGCAAACCGAACCTTCTGAAAAATGAAACAATGCAACAAACTGTGGTCTGGTGCGCACCAGAGAAGCGGACTATTAGGTGTGAATGCACCCACCAGTTTGATTTTTAGAGAAGCTTTTTTCTTAAAAGTATAAAGCTGTTTAATAAATGAAGTGCAGTCAAATTACATTATTTCCCTTTTAAATTAAGTGGAGTAGAAGTATTTAGTTCCATAAAATGGAAATAAGTGAAGTACAAGTATGTCAAAATTGTACTTACATATAGTACTTGAGTAAATGTCCGATTAGTACAATATATAATAATATATATAGTTATAAAGTGCTGAAAGGAAACCAGCAGTGGGATACAGGTGCATTCGGGCGTCAGTGATAAGCCGGCTCATGAACCTGAACGTGACAAACGGTAACAGAGGTGACTCTGACCTCAGGGCGACTGCAGATGGTTGCCGGGGCGTTGCCGTGGAGTTGCCGTGGCGCTGCCTAGCGTTGATGTGTCACTGCGGGTTGAGTTTCACTTCTGGCATTAGGACAGCTTTTAGCAGTGTCTTGGGTTTCACTGGTCACACTGGCAACCTCTAAGTGCTTCTGCAGGCAGGCCGCTCTACATCACTGAACCTCCAGCGTCTGAGCGTCTCCACCAGAGAGCTGTTCCTCTGCTGAGGCCCCGATCTGATCCACATCAGTGGACGCTTTTCAAATCCATGTTTGTCCCTGCCAAGACTGGAGTAGATCATGGAGCAGATTTCTCACCATGGTATCAGTGGTGCTGCTAATTCTCAGAGAATCGCGTTTCCCAGAAGCCTTGTTGTTTCTTGTTACTGTGCTAGCAAAAGAACAACATCCTCTTCCTGTTTGTGCCATACCTATCCAACAGCTTTCTAATCCAAAGTAGTCTAGACAACGAATGATCAATCATGTATTGATCAGAAGATGGCATTAAACCAGAACTGATAGATGTCCACTCTTTATCAACTCTGGTTTGGTCTCCACCTGGGGGGTATACTACGAATCTAGTTCAACATATCCTGGATATGTTTTGAGTTATCCGGTTGACTAAATCCAAAAAAAAAACGCTCTCGCTAAACGGTCCTATCGGCTATCAACTCGATCGCTCTAGCCAGCCGTGTCCTATCTAGTTAGGTGCGCGTTCACATAAAAGGGGTGGTATTTGGAGCATTCGACCAATCACAAACATGGACAAGCCGTGTACTGACAGCGCAGCGCGTCATATATTTCCTGAATGAAAAGTCAACTAATATTAGACAAATATGAAGACGTTAAACTTTAAACATCCATGACTTAAACACTTTATCCAGGATAAAAGCCACATAGCTGCACCTGCAAGGTGAATACTGCTGGTAAAAGAAAAAGTGTTTGAATGCGTACATTAACAGGTTTATGATATCACTGCTGCCCCGTCTAAGACACGAGTGGATCTGACTTTAATTACATTTGACTCGAGTGTTTCGTCAACTTAATGTGTTGCTTAAAATAATACTTCTGCATACAGTATGTGACACTGTGAGTGTCGCACGCCAGATACGGCTCAAGAAGCTGACTCAAATAAGGAAATATATGATACATTATGATGTGATATGATATGATATGAATGATAATGGGACACATCGACGTCTGCACTCACAGTGCCGCGGACTGTAGGCTACATATTGTTACTTTGATCCGGTTACTTATGTTGTGGCAGATATTTAAGTAAGCTTTCTTAACGCTAATATTATAATAGTCAGATTGCTCTGAAGATGGGAGGGGATATTCTATTCATTTTCACGTTCACACAGTCGGTGATTTTGGCCGGTCGTCTTTCCTGCAACGGCAGTTTAAACTGTATTTCCTTTCTCCTCCTGTCATATGAATTGATTGCTTTAAACTCCGCACACTGAGCTCTGATTGGTCAGCAGGCAGTGCTTTTATCCTGGAACCTATCCTGCTCCGGAGGCTAGCCGTTCAGAATAAGTTATCTAGCCCGCTAAGAAGTGAACCAGCTTCGTAGGACCGGAAATCCCTGAAGTTAGCTCGCTAAACGAAAATCTTGATTCGTAGTATAGGCCCCAGCTCCGGACCAGGCTAGCCGTTCAGCATAAATTACCATGGAGATCTAGCCCGCTAAGAAGTGAACCAGCGTCGTAGGACCGGAAACCCATGCAGAGTTTTCCCTGAAGTTAGCTCGCTAAGCGAAAATCCGGCTTCGTAGTACAGGGGGGTATACTACGAATCTAGTTCAACATATCCTGGATATGTTTTGAGTTATCCGGTTGACTAATCCAAAAAAAAAACGCTCTCGCTAAACTGTCCTACGACGCTGGCTATCAACTCGATCGCTCAAGCCAGCCGTGTCCTATCTAGTTAGGTGCGCGTTCACATAAAAGGGGTGGTATTTGGAGTGTTCGACCAATCACAAACATGGACAAGCCGTGTACTGACAGCGCAGCGCGTCATATATTTCCTGAATGAAAAGTCAACTAATATTAGACAAATATGAAGACGTTAAACTTTAAACATCCATGACTTAAACACTTTATTAGGATAAAAGCCACATAGTTGCAGCTGCAAGGTTAATACTGCGGGTAAAAGAAAAAGTGTTTGAATACGTTCATTAACAGGTTTATGATATGCCCCGTCTAAGACACGAGTGGATCTGACTTTAATTACATTTGACTCGAGTGTTTCGTCAACTTAATGTGTTGCTTAAAATAATACTTCTGCATACAGTATGTGACACTGTGAGTGTTGCACGCCAGATACGGCTCAAGAAGCTGACTCAGATAAGGACATATATGATACATTATGATATGATATGATGTGATATGAATGATAATGGGACACATCGACGTCTGCACTCACAGTGCCGCGGACTGTAGGCTACGTAATGTTACTTTGATCCGGTTACTTATGTTGTGGCAGATATTTAAGTAAGCTTTCTTAACGCTAATGTTATAATAGTCAGATTGCTCTGAAGATGGGAGGGGATATTCTATTCATTTTCACGCTCACACAGTCGGTGATTTTGGCCGGCCGTCTTTCCTGCGACGGCAGTTTAAACTGACACGAAGGGCTCTTTAAGAACTCAGATGCTCGATTCCGTTGCTTTGTATTATTCTTTATTATAAAGATCACAAAGCTTTTCAAAGTCTTCTAGGATCTACTAGGACATTCCAAAGAATCCTTAGGTTCGACTAGGTATTTACAACAGGTCTCTGGTAACAGGCATGGATCTCATGAAGAGACAAGACGAACCAACACAAGACAAAGGGAGAGAAGGACTATATATACACACACACACACATTAGGTAATGAGGCACAGGTGGACACAATCAGGGGCGGGAACAACAATCAGTCTGACCGGTGACACACAAAGACAGGAAGTGCAGACACCTGGAAAGATAGAGCAGAGTCATGTCAAAATAAGACAGATAGACAAACACTAAAACCTTACAGTACC